TAAGAGGGCTTTAAATGACTTTTTCTTATTATACATATAACAGAAAATGCAAATTAAGTTTTCATTGTTTATTGATTCTGAAGTACCCAATATCATCTTTAAATTAATACGTGAGGCAAAAACTTTGTATCCCTTTTTACGAAAATTGCGCGGACTGAGGTTTATAAAAATTTCCACACTTATAGAGAATATAGAGAAGAAGTGCACAATGCTAATATTTTTTTTAAATAATGCATTAAAGATACATTAAATCAATAGAGAAAATTTTACACACTACATACCATGTATTGACGCACACACGCATGCATACTATTTATTGTCAAACTTTTGTTCTTGACGTCTGTGTGAAATTGAGAATAGATTAAATATTGTTTGGCTTTGTTAATATTTTTTATAGTGTAGCCTTGGCGAAATTTGTGATTATAAAAGTATAAAATACAATCATAATAGTGTACAAACTTACAATTCCAATTAATTATAGTCGAATTTCGACTACTGCGGGGCCTCTAGTATATAATAGCTATGAGAAGCAAATATGTAGAAAATAACCGAAATATATATTATGTCTATTCCATATTGTCCACATCTACTTTATATAATGTTATTGGCTATTAGCTTTCCGCCCGTACCACCGCTTGGGTGGACAAAGAATTTAACGTGGGCGGAAATCTGAGATCAGCAGTGAGATGAAAGGTAGGTTCTTTCTCAGGTTTCGTACATTTTATATATGTCCATACCGAATTAATACGTTGCTAGGAAAAATCGTGGGTATAAAATCTTTCTGGAGCCGAATAGGATAGGAGCAAAAATGTTCATTACAAACACACTATGGATCAAGGTAATCGACGTCGCCTAAAACACGTCATTACAGATCCTCCCAATCCATTAACGGTGCTTTTAGGTATCACAAGCAACGGTCACCGTCCTCGTCGAACGCGTCGCTTGCGACAAAGGGCTCGACGAGCGAATTAACCCATAGACACAACCCACTGAGATTCTCACCGGATCTTCTCAGAGGCTCGCTCTCTCGGGGCTCAAACCGGAGGTGTTGCTAACACTGGCCCTAGCAAGAGCAGTGCTTCGTAGAATCTACCACCGGATCGGAAACGCGACTCACTGAGAATATTCGGCGAGAAACTCAGTAGGCTGTGTCTATGGGTTAAATCGATACTAATGTAGTTCACAAAATTGCACTACATTTTAATTAAAATATAATTTATAAGTATGTACAGTAAAATCTGCAAGAACGCCCGTTAACTATTTTAATGTCCAATATATGTCAACAAACAATAATATAAAATAAAATAATTTATTTGAATCTTCAATGTGGAAATGAGCCAACAAGTTTTGACGCAAGAGCGACAAAAATGTCTCTCGATTCTAATTGAAGATAGCATCGAATAGAATATTATTGAACGTCTCTTTTAAACAATGACATATAAACCACCCGATGTGTGATCCAATTTTTTTCTTATTGTTTGTTTAAATATTACTGAAAGCAGATGAGCATACGGTCCATACGATGGTAGGTAGTTACTGACGCTCACAGGAATCGGCAAAACCAGGAAACAACCAAGGCGCTATCTATGGCTGAGAACTCTTCTCAAATCTAATTCAAAGTTCGGGAAACACCGTGGAGGAGAATTCATTCCAGAACTGGACGGTACGTGGGAAAATATATCTCAACATACTGTGGTTAAATTCAATGTTCCGGATAGTATACATCTGTCAATTTATCATATTTTTCGATAGACTTAAAGTAAGCTTTGTCCCACGCTCACCGACGTCTTTTGCTAAAGGAAGATATACTTGGATGTACCTGGATTGGTATCTACATAAAATATATTATTATTTCCTTCGTTCTTAGAAAATAAGGCCGTCCGGGCGTAGCTGGAATAGCCCCTTGGGTTACCAGCGAATAGGTAGGAAAAAAAGAGATTCAGAGTTGATACTCACAATAATGTTTTGTTTTTTAAAACGAAATAAAGGCACCTAAATAATAATAACGGGGAAAAAATCACGCACGGTCACTGTTATGGGTACTAGAGACTGATAAACATACTTATATGTGTTTAAATATATAGATAGTAAACGTCTAAACAATGAGCAAACTTCATCATACAATGTTTACCCGATCTGAGAAGCGAACCCACGACCCTCGACGAAACAGTGAGGGCCCTCACTATTTCATTAGTGAACCACAGAGTCAGTCAAATGTTAGTTTGTTGATTGATGTAAAAAAAATTGTCTAGCTATAGTACGAACAACACTGCAGCATTGCCAAGTGCAGGCATCAGGTAGGGTGATGTGAATCTCTAATATTCTAATAAATGAAAAGTGTTTATCGGTGTGCCTTTCGATTACAATTTATAACAATGGATACTAGTGAAAACAGCCTATGCTCCGTTGTGATAACAACCAAATTTGTGAAAAAACCAGTGTTGAAACTATTTGCGCGCCACCTGTCGTACTTTAATGATAACCTCCGCATGTGTAAACTATAACTTGACAACATTAAATCTAAACAGAAATAAAGAGATACTATATTGATTTTTATGTATTCAATATGTTGAATTCTTAAATAAATATAGAAAAAAATTTGAACTAATCAATCATTATTATTTACTATTATTTACGCCGCACATTTTTTTTGAAAGATCTGTACTTGCTAAATGATCACTTAACATACATTATCCTTTATTTACCTCATTAGTATGGTGATTAGTGACAATGTTTATTCGAAGACAAATTTAGAGGCTACGTCTTAGTCACTCTATATGATTTGTTACATTGTAACCCCGTAAAGGTAGGTATCACCATCTTGCCCATTTCAGTGGTGAAGCACCACAATTGAAGGTAGATGGGATCATAATATTGTGATGTCTATGGGCACCGATCACAGGTTAGCACAAGTTCATAGGTTAGCACGGACCATCAACTTTTTCACTAAGTAAATAAATATGGTAACTCCATTAAAACAAATTGAAGATTCAGTGGCTCAATGTACTACTAGGTTTCCAGTAACCATAAGATATCTGAAAATCAGATGAATGTACAGGATTTAAGTTTCATTCTTTTTACTGCTACAAATCATTAGTTAATTATTTCATGATTTCAAAACCAGTTTAAGTGGGCACTTTTCCCTTTATTATTGTTACCAACTCAACAAAACTTATCAGACAATAATGCACAGTTTACTTTTGTTAATTACAATGTCGTAAATAAATGTCCAATTTAAACATTAATTTCGTTTAATGAAGATATTTTTACTTTGTAATCATAATATAATTATCATTTTAGTAAAATTAATTTATAGCCCTTAAGCCTAGCATGTGGTAAAATTGGTCTAAGCTCATTTGTTTAGTTCTAGCCCCTGAATTATAAAGGATTGCTCTTATCTCTTAGCATCGGAAAAAAGGTGGTACACCAAGAGCGTTTCTATCAAATGTTTTATATATGAAATACTTTATTTTATAAACATAGCAAGCCCAAAATCCTTTTGTAAACTGTTTGAAAATCTAAAAACATTCAGCTTTAGGGTACTTTTCCTCTGAGCTTAATTTATTCATTGCCAATTTTGATACGTATGGCGATTGGCATGGCATCATGAATTATATTTAATATACAAATGTATACCGCCATACCAGTTTTAACTATACATTACTGATTGCCATCTGTGAAATTACTAAAATTCCTGATCAGTAATTTTTTGAAGTTTTTTTTTGAGAGACATTCATGATTTAATACCAGTTAATAAATGGTTTTTGTTTTAAAACATATATTACTGTTATTTATGAATATAATTATAATATTGATAAATACTCGTGTCAGGGATGTGTTCAAATTGAATCACTAACAGTTTTGTGTATTAGAAACAGAACATATATTTTGCCTACATACAGGCACACAAAAGAATCATAAGCAAAGCAATAGCACACAAGTTATATAGTAAATCACTATAAATATTTTTAATTTGTTTGTAACTCATTTTAATGTATTTGTGTATGTGGAAATAAACCTGATGCATCCAGGACTGATTAGTAACATTTGTATATTGTTTAGAATACTGACATATTAGTTTTGGAAATTTTCTCAAAGCCTTTGACACTAAATACAGTACTTTTTGACTACAATCTTTTTTGAAACAAAGCTTAATGTGGGAATTCTGGTGTGAGCACAAGTGCAAGTGCTTAACCTCTATGGTTGTCAAAGACTGCTATTTGTCACATAGGCCACCACTCATTTGGACCTACCAAATGTGCTGAATCGTCATTCAGGAAATAAAAGAGATATGTCTTCTAATAATCAATAAATTACCCAAACCAAATTTGAAATACATTAATTCCTGAAGGAAAAAAAATGGCATTCAAATATATTTTGAATGTGCTATTTCATAGTTATTATTTTGTGAACAATACATCAAATCCTTGCTTTTGGTCAAGGTTTAGTGGATACCTCGTAAATTATAGCATTATGTACACTCTCAATACAATCTAATGACTCATACACAAGAGAATAAAAAATAAACAATGGGTGTATGATTATTTTATATCAATTTTTGTTTACACATATATTTAATTGAATGTACTGGTTGATTGCCAAATAACATTAAAATCGCGTAGGTACACCGGTCGGTAGAGTAGGAAGTATTTGTCACTAGGGGCAGGGCAGAGCCCTATTGTTACCTTGAAGTTTCATACTAAAAATGATATACTATATAAATAAGGAACAGTAATAATGACTTTAATGATATATTTTTGTTGTAAAGAAGATTATTAATCTAAATAATATCTCATTTATAATATTTTATTTTGTCATTACTAATCTGTCAAATCGTTTTTTTTTCTTTTTTAAATTGTAAGTACCTAGTTAATATGTGGATAATTTTGTCTTTCAGGGTAATAATAATATTGTTTGCAATACATAGGTTCGTAATTAAATATTAACGAAAAAAAACTCAACTACATATTGTTCAAATAAAATTTAGTTGCTGTACTTACCGAAATGGGTCCAAACATGCACTAAATGTTGTATTTGCACTCGAATAATATTTACATAATTTCCTTTTAAAATTAAGGACTGTAATTATTTTCAGAATACGATTTCATTAGACGACAGAAAACAACGGAGTAAAATAGACAGTCGCCGATGATAAGTGAATTGAGTGAGAAACTAAACTTTGACAGATGTCGGTAGATGGCGCAATAAACGTTTTCAAAGATTCATAGACAATTTTTGGTATTATGATAGACCGAAATCACTCGGTATGTCAAACAAGAAAAATGTTATTAAAGTTTTCGGAAACCTTGGAATATGAGAGTACTTTAGAGAGTATTAAAATTCTTAGGGTTCATATTTCGAGCGGTGTTCAAAATTGTATTTGAATGGTAAAACCAAGTTGACTTCTAAAGTATTAGGAGGTCTCAACAAAGTATGGAGGTACTAGATATACTGTCAGATGAAATGTTGTACTTTCTGAAAAAACACAAATTCAGTTTCGCGTGCAGTAGAACGACCAACTCTAAGGATCCCAACTATCAACCTCTTTTTTGAACGTCAGAATGACGATAATTTGGAACCTCTGGGATCATTGGTTTTGGTTGGACTTTTATTCGGTTTGATACGTTTTGGACAATGTATTCTATTGGAGAGAGTACACTGATGAATTATTTCAGATGATTCCTTCATCTCCTTTTTACCATCCCACCACCATATAACCATTGTGTTCATCCATTTTACATTTTCAGTGCTTTTTTTTACCGCGTACCATCCCGCTTTGGAACAAATTTTTATCTACTATTTTTTGAGTTATAACATGTTCTTCTTCAGCTTAAGATTAAAGAAACTTCTCTTTGGTAGGCAACTGCATGGCTGTGCTATCATTGATCACGACCATAAGCAACGATGACCATTCATCATAAGACAGCTGAAAATAAAAAATATAATCAAAGTACTAAAGGATTAGGATCTTTTTCAAAATAAATAATCTTAAATTAATTAAGTTAAAATTATGAAACAACGTAAAGGATAGGTTGACAAAGCACAATTTAGTTTAAGGAGAGTAAAAACTTTTCTATTTCTTCGTCATTCGGTCTTTCATAAAATACAAAGTCAGTGACGGTTTTGAATTGATTAGTGCCATCTACCGGAAATTCAAATGGTGAACAAAACGCATTCTCTCCCACTCGCACTCGCACACTCCGCGACGTCGAATGGTTCAATGACTTTAGAGACCGTTTCTATTTTCTCTCTGGTTTTGTCGTCGGGTCAGGCCGTAAGNTTTCTATTTCTTCGTCATTCGGTCTTTCATAAAATACAAAGTCAGTGACGGTTTTGAATTGATTAGTGCCATCTACCGGAAATTCAAATGGTGAACAAAACGCATTCTCTCCCACTCGCACTCGCACACTCCGCGACGTCGAATGGTTCAATGACTTTAGAGACCGTTTCTATTTTCTCTCTGGTTTTGTCGTCGGGTCAGGCCGTAAGGAAGGGGGTCTTTGTTTGCGTTTCACGTTCGCGTTGTGCGGTGCGGAGTTATTCGTGGTTGCGATTCCTCGTATCGTCGAGACGGAATGTGCCCGCATTTTTAGTGGAAGCGTGGGTCTCGCTCCTCCCGGTCGATGTGAAATGTCGCGTTTGCCAGAGTGGCGCCATCATCAAGTGCAAGTGCAGTGAGGTGCAGTGGTGGTGTGTCGGAACGAGCGTGGGTCGGTTCGGCCACGGCGACCGAAGTACGCGGAGGTGGCGGTGGCCGTGCGGCCATGACCGGCGACATGCCTCTGGGGAGCGCGCACGCGTTCGGGCTCGCGTTGCTCCGGGACGGGGCACTGCCGCCGCTGGAGCCTGGCCCGCCCGCACCGCCGGCAGCCAACGCGCAACCGCCCGACAAGCGACCGACGGCCGCCGCCGCCAGTCCCGAGCAGGTCATGAAGCTCTATATGAACAAACTCACGCCTTACGAGCACCGTGAAATATTCGACTATCCTCAAGTGTACTTCATAGGTGCGAACGCGAAGAAGCGCCCCGGCCTAGTAGGGTTCCCAAACAATTGCGAGTATGACAACGAGCAGGGCTCGTATATCCACATCCCCCACGACCACATAGCCTACAGATACGAAGTGCTGAAAGTCATCGGCAAAGGTAGCTTCGGGCAAGTGGTGAAAGCGTTCGATCATAAGAAACGCGAACACGTTGCCCTCAAGATGGTCCGCAACGAAAAGCGGTTTCACAGACAAGCACAGGAGGAGATCCGTATACTGGAGCACCTCCGCGAGCAAGACAAGGACAACACGATGAACGTCATCCACATGTTCGACTCGTTCACATTCAGGAATCACACGTGCATCACTTTCGAGCTACTCTCGATCAACTTGTACGAGTTGATAAAGAAGAACAAGTTCCAAGGTTTCTCTCTGCAGTTGGTGCGTAAGTTCTCGCATAGTCTTCTGCAGTGTCTGCACGCTCTNCTGGAGCACCTCCGCGAGCAAGACAAGGACAACACGATGAACGTCATCCACATGTTCGACTCGTTCACATTCAGGAATCACACGTGCATCACTTTCGAGCTACTCTCGATCAACTTGTACGAGTTGATAAAGAAGAACAAGTTCCAAGGTTTCTCTCTGCAGTTGGTGCGTAAGTTCTCGCATAGTCTTCTGCAGTGTCTGCACGCTCTAAACAAGAACCGCATCATCCACTGCGACATGAAGCCAGAGAACGTGCTGCTCAAGCAACAGGGACGATCTGGTATCAAGGTCAGTATGCTTAAAATGATTATAACCGGTTGTGTAAAAATGATACTACTATCTATAAAATACCGAGTAATAATCAAACCAATTGCAGTCCTTATGCATATTTCGAAATTTTCATTATTAGTGTTCCATTAGTCTAGTTCTCGTTATCTTGTTTACGTAGCTTAACTGAATTACAAAATAAATAATACACTTCCACAATACGTTTTTAAGTGAAGCCGTATTTGGGGACTTTGTTTAAAAGTTAGAAACGCGTTTTGTTTGCATTCTAACAACAATCACGGAGTCCGAACACCTGTTCACATGGCGCACACATCGGGTAAAATCAATAAGCCGAAATCAGAGAATACAGTTATACTTTTTCTCTTAAAATACTTGTGTGTGCGCCTGATCAGCTGACCACACCCGCAACCTCTGATTTTTACCGGCCCTTAGTTTTTTTTTTTTTTTTTTACAAAGACTAGGAACTTTATGAAGTATTTTCGTAATCATTCCGAGATAAACGTTATCTGTGGAAAGATCGCGCGAAGCAACGTGTTCTATTTTGATACTTCCCAATACATCGAGGAGACGTTCAAACGCCATGTGATTTTAGACGGAGTTATTTACGTCAATACACATCTCGTAACCCGAACCAATGCCACTATTGCCGCAATGAAACTGCAAAAACTACCTGAAACCTTCGATCGCTCTCTGTCTTCCCGTAAAAACTTTGACCTGCAAGTTGATTGAGTTTCCTCGAGCTTATTTAAGTTCTGACACTCGCGTTTTCTTGTAACATATAGTTCTACCAGTTCCTATAGTACTATAGTTTCGAAAAAATATTTTTTTATTTAATGCATAAAAGTGTTTTCTATTGTTATTGCATCCAATTTTTTTTCCTACCTAAGCTGATAGATAGCCTTGAGAGACTATTTCAGCGTAACCTTAACTAGTAGGTGAACTCACGGGGCTCAAACCGGAGTGATGCTAACACTTACCCTCGCAAGAGACTGCTCTTGCTTCGTAGAATCTACCACCGGATCGGAAACGCGACCCACTGAGAAGATCCGGCGAGCAACTCTGTGGGCTATTACATCCAAGTAGATTTATATAAACTACTGAACTAGGTATCTATTACATTTATTGTACTCGTATTTTGAGGTTAATTTAGATGTTATCGCAAAGCCTAAAATTAAATGTTAAGTGGGCTATTCTTTCATAGCTAAAAGAATATATTTGGTTCCTAAAACTGTAACATCACCAATAAAAAATATTTGAATCGAAATCTATATCTATACTAATATTATAAAGAGGAAAGATTTGTTTGTTTGTTTGTATTGAATAGGCTCCGAAACTACGGAACCGATTTAAAAAATTCTTTCACTGTTGGAAAGCTACGCTATCCCCGGGTGACATAGGCTACATTTATTATATTTTAAAAAAAATTAGAGATCCTTACTGAAACTCCAATACTTAATAATATGTAAAAAAATTACCTAAAATTCGTTACATCGCTTGCGCTACTTCCCAAGCGAAGCCGGGGCGGGCCGCTATATATTTATATCCGTGGGGATTTTGTATATTTAAGAATCAAATCGAAAACCATCAGCATAGTATTTACCTGAACGAAAATTCCAGAACGAATGTATTAGGTGGTATCCATCACGAAAACTCATAGTTAAATGTAGCTCTTTTGTTTATTCAGGTGAGACCTAGATCAACACTACAATAATAGATATGCAGCCGATAAGATAAATATTTCATTGGGAACGTATGTCATTATTAATTTGTAACTATGCCTAAACGCAATGTATTGCAATATATATAGAAGCAAAACTTTGATTAAGGCTTATTGTAAGTCGGCACGGGTAATCATCACCACCTTGCTTACTTCCGCAGACAGTAATGCATTCCGGTTTGAAGTTTGAGGCAGTCATTGTTTTTTTTATTGCTTAGATGGGTGGATGAGCTCACAGCCCACCTGGTGTTAAGTGGTTCCTGGAGCCCATAGACATCTATAACGTAAATGCGCCACCCACCTTGAGATATAAGTTATAAGGTCTCAAGTATAGTTAAAACGGCTGCCCCACCCTTCAAACCGAAACGCATTACTGGTTCACGGCTGAAATAAGCAGGATGGTGGTACCTACACGTGCGGACTCACAAGAGGTCCTACTACCAGTAAATGGACATACGAGATTGTAGTTGTACTATACTATACAACCTGTACCTCAAGGTAGGTAGGTAGCGGGATTTACCTTAATATGCCTTTTAGTTCCAGTAACCATTTAATAGCGAGTGGACCGTACCGCATCTGGCACTTAAAATTTGAAGACTACAATTTAATTCGTAAAATCTAGCTAAGGTATCGAGAGCTAATGATTAACCGTAAGACCACATTTGTTTTACAATTCATTGCAGTTTATTGAGAATAGTGAAAGTCCAATACAAAAAAAATATACCAGTATTAAATTTGAAATGTGCATCTTATAATACAAGATACGCTATTCACATTAACTCTTCCGAATTTAACACGGGTGGATCAGCGTGACACATTTAGTTGCTTTTATTAACATCGTGAACCGCAAAATAACTACAGATACTTATCGCATTTTTAATACAAATGTAACTACATACCTAGGTAAAAGATACAGCTAAGAACAGATCATTTCTTTAACATAATAAATACTCTTGTGGCATGGAGTTTTATGAATTATTGTGACTGTGAACATCCAAGAAAATACATAACTTCAAATGTAAAGAAAGTAATACAAAATAAGAGCTTATTTAAAATTCTAATATGTATACCTAAAATTTACGATTCAATTCGTCACGGTTCTATGAGAATCATTAAAAAAAAATTATTTAATTAGAATTACGACTGTCGAAAATGATATGTTATAAAATGTATATGAATATGGCCCGGCAATCGTAATTTTCATTCGGCGTATACAGTAACGGGAGTTCTTAATTTTTAACCGGTTTCCTTAACCGATTTCGTAAAATTTCGCCGTAAAACTTTTAATTAAAGCACCTAAGGATTGTCTAACGATCGAAAAGTTTTGGGAGCAATGGACTCTCAATTTCAAACATTATTATATAAACCATAAAAGGATCACTAATGGCCTTGTAGATTAAAAAATATATAAACTTGTTTATATTACAGTCAATTGATAGAAATTTACAATCCTATTTTTTTTACAGTGATTGAGGACTGACTGGAATCGTTATGAATATAAATCAAATAAATATGTTCTATGAATTTTGTTTTGAGTTTCTAAAACCGTTTTTTTTCTTCTATATTACTATTATCTCCAGTGTTTTAATGCAAAAGTTATATAGCAATGTAGTAATTAGTTTTCACCCTGCAAATTAAATTCCGTTTGATCGTAATTGTAAACGAGATGAGGTCGTGTTAAAAAACCGCCTGCACTAATTTACTGCCTGCTGATTACTTCACTAGAGCGTAAACTAATTACAATTCTCCGCTTATTAACATTACGCTTCTGGTATACAAATAATAAATGTGGCTGTAATGTTTTCAGTTTTTTTACTGTCGTCAGGCTGTAATTAAATATACGGATACTCGGGTAATTAAGATTGTGATTAAAAAACAGTTACATATTATAATCTCAATGCCAAAATGTGTCCAAGCAACTTGATTGTGTGTGGACACGAAGTTTGTGAAGTATTCGAAATTGAAATTTAAAAATAATTTAGATTAAGTCGTAAAGAGGTTCGTTGCAAATGCCCAAAGCCGACGCGCATAATACGTGAATATATGAGACAGTCAGCGCAAAAGTGACTTACCCCACAATTTTTTCATATTCGTCCTTATACGTATATTGCCATTAATTTAAAACCTATTAAAACAAGGCCTATCCCTAGTTTGACTGTTCGATAACAGATGGATTTGTAAACATTATTTTTACGCGTATTACTTTTGCCTACGAAGCAGTGTAAAAGTAAATTCAAACCTAATACTTACTTAGTATACTCTCCATACTAATTAAGGTATGCTTAGGCCACTTTTGCGCTGACGGCTTCATATAACGTGAACAAAACGTACGCATCCAAATGGAAGGACCATGTTCCTGATGCCTTAAAATATTAAATTACCGTTAGTCGAGTAAACCATCCGTCGACCCAGATACAATAATGTTTTAAATGTTTTTAAATACACACTTGTCAGAATATTGAACTACATTTGTTAGACGTTCAATCTAGGTCATCTTATCTTAATTTGTGACATTGTATTAAGTGCAGGCACGCCGTTGTTAATTTACGTAATGGGTCACGGCTTACGTTACGTGTGGGAAGTCTCGAGTATTCGTTTTATTGCTTTCTATTGTGCAAAGTAAACCGGGTTGCCTTTCTTACTGGTTTTTTTTTTTTAATTTCGTACATTATCTATATTGTTATATTAATACGTGAGCAAAAATTTTGTACCCCTTTTTACGAAAATTGCGCGGACGGAGGAGTATGAAATTTCCCACGCTTATAGAGAATATAGGGAAGGAGTGCAGAATGCATTTTTTTTTTTAATTATACATAAGAATACATTAAATCAATAATAAAAGCATTACACACACTACTATGTAGGTATTTGACACACAGCACGGATATAAACTCTTTTGTTTATTGTTAAAGTCTGTGGTCTAATCGAGAATAGATTAATATTGTTGGTCTTTAATATTATTTGTCTTTAATGTAGCCTTGGAAAAATATGTGATTAAATAAGTAAAGTTTTTGACAATAGAACCATAATAATGTTCAATAACTTATAATTTAAATTAATAATTATAATCTATTTTCGACTTCTGCGGGACCACTAGTAACTCTAATTTCATTATTCGTTTACATCGTAATGTATTGTCGAATTACTGTAGGTAATTACTGTACTTGTAGGTACGTAGATTTTGTAAGAATTTGAACGTCATCAATGCTCAAGTCAGGTAATACGATATTTTACTAAGAAATCTTAGCGTTTGTTAATAGTAGTTGAAAATTGTCGAACCAGT